AGACAAGTCCCACAGCCCCACATGGCAGAACAGGGAGCTGGACCCCGTCCTCCCACCCCAGCCACTTCGTTGGAGCCATTTGACCTTGCTACCACTCGGCACAGGGATGATTTTCCACACCCTGTCCTTTTTTTCGCATAATCCCCAAACCCGTGATCCCTCTTCCCCATGTACAGAGACAAACGTAGGCCCAAAGAGGCGGGAGCAGCGGGAGATTAATAACCACTTTGCTTTGCTGAGGGCTCCAGTGGGATGAGCTAGCTGGCATCACGTCCCCTGGGCCTGCAGAGGGGACTGCACCCCTTGGAGACCCACCAGGAGAAGTTATTCAAAGCATGGGAGATAACTTCTTAGCCATCTGCCTCCCTGGTTACTATTTATCTCAGGCTCTGCTCCTGTTCTCCTCACTTTTTTGGAAGATGGTGAATTTAGGGAAACAATGGTTTTCAAAGCTGAGTCAATGCCTCCTTTCCTCTTCCTTGGGTGAAAGACTGGGGAGATAATTTGATATTGCAGGGGTTAAGGTAGAGCAGGCAGACTTCAAAAGGGAAGAGACTCATGTCAAAGAAGGTGGCAGCGGGGGAACATTATGGGCAGCTCTACCCACCTGGGAGGCACTGTCACGGGACTGGGAGGCACTGCCCAGAGAGCACACAGAGGTGACAGCTGTCACAAGAGCCTCTGAAGCAAAGAGACAAAATCAGGCCCAAAGAGAGGGTGCCTGTTCCTGATCCTGGTCTGTGGCACAGTGAAATGAATCCCTCAGAACACCAACAGAGACTTAGAAAGGCAGCGTCACAGGCAAGTCTCTTGCAATTAGGTAGTGTGATCACGCCAGATACTACTTGGTTTCAAAAGGCGGAGGCAAAAGAAACACGCTGTTAAGCGGATGCCAGAGCAGAACTGTGGAGCTAGGAGGTAAAGAGCTAACAGGAACACAAGGCTTGTCTGGGAGGTCATCATAATAGGATCGGCTTTTCCTTTCTCTAGGCTCTGGGATAGTGAAGTCAATCCAATTTTAACTAGAATCCAATCTATTTTCTCCGAGCCTAGAGAGCTTCTGCAGTTCTTGCACCTCCCTGCCTGCAATACCTTGCAACTCCAACATGACACCTTTTTGCTCCAGTTCTCCCCTTGGAGCACAAGCTGGGGGAATCAGATCACAGGAGAGATGCCCTGCTTTTAAACTGCTTTTCTACAGGGAGCAAAGGGAGATGCTCCTGTCCACATGCCTTATGGTAGCAGCTCCACAATCCAAGCACGTGCTGTTGAACTTCCTGTGAGATGAGCCAAGACAAACTCCTGGGTGCTGGTCGCAGGCTAAAGGGCAGAGCAGCTGACCAAGGGGAACCAGAACCCATAGCTCAGCACTTAACCAGAAACTGCTTGGCTAGAAATACACAGGTGAATTTGCTCCTGTAAGCGCAGAGGATGCATTTCTCTCTTCTGTTGCACATGGACCAGAGGCTGTATGGGATTTAGCCAGGCTGTTAGAGGAAATCAGTGGCAAGCTAGGGGCAAATGTCCTGGAAGCCAGGCTAAAAATGTACGCTGGCAATGCAGCTGCTCTCTGAACTTCAGGATTTTTGTTTCTTTCCTGTCAGGAGTTGTAATTTTCAATTTGACCCTGACAGAAGAAATTCCTCTCAGGCTTTTTTATCTTCACTTTTTCCAAGCTCTCCAGGACCTCATTCTGTTGCATAAACTATTGGGAGACGATCGTTCTCATTTTCAGAAATTTTTATTGAGTTAGTTCCCAGGAGCATCTTTAATGAACAAACACCATTTTGTCCAGTGACACAGTGAAGGCTACAGACCCCCAAACGGCCTGAAGCTCTCTGCTTCTGCGGCTGTGAAAGTCTGCCCACAGTCCAGGGTTTGGTTTGGTTTGGTTCGGTTCGTTTTTTGCTGGCAGCCTTCCCTCGATGGACTCTGACAAAGCAAGCATTGATTACCCTCTGCTCTGCAATTGCCCCCTGGCTGAGACAAAATCCTAAGTAAATAATTTTGCAATCAAAGGCCGTAAAGGCTTAAACCTTCGAATCCAACTCCTGTTGAAAGTTAACCACATGGCATTGCAGCCAATGGCCCAAGATAAGCAAGACAAGGAAGGAAGGTTTAGGGAATCAGTGTAACATTAACATGCAGAAGGGACTGTATACTATGAATTATTGACCAAACACCTGTACGCAGCACTGGGACACACACAGGCTCTGGCAGGGATGAAGTGAGTGCACTTGGAATTTCTGGACAGGCCTGAGCAGTAGCAGACCTGGGAAGCTGGGGCATCACAGAGCAGCACCGCCACCGCCCTAGCGTGGGGGACTGAGGAGCAGGCAACCCAAAACAGCAGCAGGGACACACTCAGCACCAGTCCTGGAAAAGAGGTATAGGAATGAAAGGCAGTATTTTCAGCTGGCATTTAATAGGAATCTGATTTAGAAATTAATAATTCACAGGTATTTTTAAAGAAGGCACAGATATTGAAGACAGTTCTCCAAGCTCATCTCCATCTTCTGTGAGTAATTATTAAAGGAAAGGATATGGCATCTCAGAGCAGCCCTGGACTTGCACTCAAATATGCCAATCACAACAGAGGAACATGGCCTGTCATCTTGAAACACTGTAAATGCTGTCACACCACCAAAGGCTGCAATAATTCAGAGCAACAAGAACAATGAGCTGTGTGAAGAAGCAGGACCTACAGAAATGCGTGAGTAAAAGTGCAGCATCATCTGTGAGAATTTGCCACTGGTTCAGGTCACTTGAAGAAAAACCCATATTTCAGCTGGTCCTCCTCTTCGACAGTGAAGGTGGCTGTACCAGTGTAAAAGGCTTCTCCGGAGACTTCCACTACAACGGCATCGTAGTCCCCAAACCTGGCTTCCTGCAGAGAGATTACGATCAGGACAGAGGTGACAGGAAGTTCTCCTGCTCACTGCCACAGCATGGGTTTGCCTCCAAGGAGGCCAACAAAGGCTGCCACGGTGGCTGCCTGCACCCAGTGACCTAGAGCAACCCAGCCCACGTCCGAGCCTTCAGGCCTGTCTGCTGTCAGATCCAAAGGGGACAAGGCTGGGCCTGAATATCCTGACGCACAGCCCAGCTTGCACATCCAACCAGCAGGTGCTCAGCCCTTGACCAAGGAAAAGTGGGCTTTAGCCCACAAGAATCCAGCCTCACCTGCAACAGAGAGCAGGCCAGACCAATTTATCTACATCAGCATCGGAGATATTTCTCACTTCAGTCGTTTCTTGATGGCCAAGAGAGGATTTGCAGCGAAGGCATGCAGTAGAACATGGCCTCACCATCCCCTTGCTTGCTTTTAATGAGAATTCCTGAAGCCTGAGGCTTGTGGGAAGGCAAGACCCCCAGGCCTCTCCTTCTTTCCACAAGCCCTTTCCTAGGCAAACAAAGGCTTTTCAATGCCTCCATCAAGTCAAGGTATCAAGCAGTTTTCCAGCCAGTCCTCAAGACAGCACAAACAACTTGCCTTCACTGCCTTTCCAGTGAACAAGGACCCCGTGGTACTGCTCCTAAAGGTTCTGGTCTGATTCAGCTGGATGAGTCCCTTATGGTACTGCAAGGCAATGCGAGCTGTCACACCTGAACCTGTTGGACTTCGGTCGACCTACATTCGGAAGACAACATAAACCAACTCTAGTATTTTTGCTTTTTGGTAGAAAAGAATATTGCTGCCCTTAATTCTCTCCGCCACCTTTTTATTGCACTTTGGGGAAAATGCCTCTAGCCCAATGGTTTGCACAGAATCAGAAGACATCAGGAATGAAAAGACAAACGAAGCAGGTTTGGGGTGTTGTGAGATTATGACCAGCTTCGGCCAGCTATGAGGGACCTGAAAAATACTGATGGATATTTAGGCAGTGCTTTAAAGCTTCCCAGTGTCACAGTAAAAGGACTGAAAGAGACACAGGCCACTTTCTGCATTCTTATGTGTCAAGGTAGGATCAGTTCTCCTTATGCTAATTATGAGAGCTGCTGGCCAGCCTGTTTTTTAAAATCTCCAAAAATACAGTGTTGATCAACTCCCGAGGTGATCTGTTCCAATGCTCCACACTCATCACTGCTGAGAAGTGCGATCAAAACTTCCCTTGCCATTATGTGGTTCCACCTTACCCACTGCAAACAGAGATAAAAGTTTATTCCCTTTTCTTCTCTCTTGCTCTGTTTATGCTTGTATCCTCACTAGACATTTCCTAGATCAGAACTTTAAGAAAATCTACTGTGTGTCTGTTGGTATCCCATGTCTCAGACCCTTGTCCCCAGGAGATTCCTACCTATGGGGCATAAGTCTTTATAAAATGCCACCATCTAAGATGCATGGAGGTATTTCTGTCATTAGGAACTAAAATCACATCTGTTAAGTGACATTCAGATCTTCAGAGACAACAATCACTGCAGCAGAAGGGTTCTGCCCAAAACAAGAAGAAACAGAACTGTCATTCGTGTGTGCAGAGGACATAAAAAGAAGGGAAAGGTAGTCCCCTGTGTGTCTGACAGCAGCTCATTTCTGTACCTGTTCATCTGCAAACACACAGATGTTGGTGGTGGGTTCCTCGCTAAAGGCATCTTTCCCATCCGTTAGTATGGTGCCATAGAGGAAAGCCAGGTCTTCACTTTCAGGATGATGAGGCTTGAACTGAGAACAAAATAAACTGGTTTCTGAACACACATCACAGTCAGGCAATCAGCAGGGACAGCCATGATAGCTTCTTCAAGATGTTACAGGAATACAGACAAGGCCACACTACTGCACTTCTAACTTTGCTCCTCAAGTAACAGAGGCAAGACAACAGCAGGAAAGCAAGTTCTCTCTCTCTTGTTCTTGTGAGGCTGGAGAGAAACTGTAAAATTCAACATGGGACTGGAAGGCCAGAGGGCTCCTGAGGACAGGTCCTCGGTCACAAAAACATGCACACAGGCCACATTCAGATGGGCTGCACGTTGCTCTGCATATCAGTGAAACACAGGACCGTGCTTTTGCATCACAAATGTACAAGATCAAGTGGCAAAGGCAGATTATTTCACAGCATCTTTCCTCTGGAAAGGACTGTTGTACCTGTGGCCAGACCTCCTATTAGAAACCCCCTGCCCTTCCACCTCTGGCTCTCGATGGCAACGTAATGTGGCTGGACAGAAAAAAATGCCAGAAATGCATAAGTGCCGGCTCTGCTCTACTCCTTACCCTCCCACAGGTAGAACTGAGTGCCTAAAGGCCTAGCTCTGCAGTAGGTAGTTACCCTGATGGGGTAACTGCAGTACCGTGTAATGGGACACTGCGCAGGTACCATAGTGCTGTGTCATACCTGTTTCTTCACCGCTTCTGTCACCGCACTCGCTGCGTCAACGAGGTCTCTGGTTTTAGACGAGCAAACGTCTAGGCCCAGCTGCTCAGCACTGAGAAACGCATAGAAAGTGCCGCCATAACCGATGTCAACCACCACCTTCCCACGACCAGGGACATCGATGGCCAAGTCTGAGCAGAGGAAGGGAGGGCGATGAGGTGGGGAAACCCTGCTGAGCAGCGGGCTCACGGGTGCTGAGCACGGAAATAGTGCTGCACTACCCCCCGCCCCACCATGCAGCACACCACCACAGGGAAAAGGGAGCTACCAGAGGGTTCGGATGCCGAAAGGCGGGATATAACACCTTCCTCCT